ATCCACAAGGGCGAGTGTTTTCGCCTTTCCTTCCTACATCCATTGACCTGACCTGCGACTGCGTTCCTCACCACCTAAGAGGTGCTTGGGATCCTTTGGGCCCATGCAACCAGGCACTCACACTCACACTCACCCACCCTCACCCTCGCGTTCACGCCCACTCATCCTCCCGTTCACGCCCACTCCTCCGTGCCACCGGCCTCAAAGGCGCTCACTGGCCGCTGGCGCTGCAGCTCTTAGACGAGATCCATGACGCCCAGCTGAAGCCCGATGCCGTGTGTTACAGCGCCGCCATCGCAGCCTGCGACCAAGGCGTTTTGCCGGGTCGAGGGGGTTCTGGGCGCTTCAAGCCTGGTCGACCCCAAAGAAGCCTGGGGGAACACTGGAAGTCTTCTTTTTGGCATACAGCATCGATTGTGTTTGGATAATAAGGTTTGGGTAATAGGTTGCTGGTTTGGGGTAAGTGGGGATACAGCATCGATTGAGTCAGAAGATCTTGGAGGATCACACCTGATCCAACGAGTCCACAACATCACCTCCAGTGGCAAAGCAAAAGGTACCGATCAGGCTTGGGTAATTAGTTGCTGGTGGTGGAATCATTAGGCGTGGAAAATGGAAGTTGTCAAAGGATGTCAAAGGATTATACTAGCTACCTGGACACTCCAAAGTACCTTACAAAATGGGACATGACCGCATAAAAACAAGTACTTGTATCCATTTTTCCGCGGTACTTTGAGACTCCAGGTAGTCAGATGTGATGAGAGAGATATGTATCTTGCCTCCACTGGCTTGTTCACCTCCGACCAAAAAAACAGATGCTATACCCAGTGTGGCATCAACTCGGGAAGCTTACGAACAGGAAGAGGCAAGACTCTCTTTCTGTCTCGAATGGATGACCGTTTTGGATGCCCTTTCAATTGGTCTAAGGTGTTCAGTCCTTTTTATGGCACACAGTCACTGTGACTGTAGATGACGAGTTCATCTAAATGGATTGGGGCCACCCAGAACTTCAATGGAATGTCGGAATGACCACATTAGAGAAGCTCATGAACCACAAAGCTTTGGTACACCCGAGCCGTTTGCTCCGTTGACTCTGTTTCAATCACCTTTGACCGACCCACGTCTGTTCTACCCCGGAAGTAGCTGCCACTCCGGTCCATGCTGGGACCGACCGTTGCCAGGTCAGCAGTGGCAGCTGGCTTTGCAGCTGCTCAGGCAGTCGGAGCCCAACGTGGTGGCCTATAGTGCAGCCGTCAGCGCATGCAGGCAGAAACCAAGCAGCCGCCGGTGCGGCATTGCAGAAAACCTGTAACAGAAATTCGCCGGATGGTGTTGGCAGTCATGTGAAGAACTACGGTTTACACGGTTTTCTGTCAATCTCAGCTGGTGCCAGTGTCGAGCTCTTCTTCCAACTGACAGTAGTTTGCTTGGTCCAATCAACATGGCAGATGTTGACCCCCCTTCCCACTTGCCATTCGTCACGGCATGGAATTCCGTCGCTTTGCATCACCGGAAGTCGTTGGCCAATAGAAACCTTATCGTCGGCGCGAGCATGAGGTGGAGATAGGTGGACCCAGCTTCAGCATTCAGCTCCTCACAAAGTGGAACTGATAATTAGATTGCTGGTTGATGGATTTGGTAGAATTCAATGACAACATCGTTTGCATAACATATATATGCATAACGTATACCGCCCAAATCTTCCTAAACTATGGACAACTCGGATCTTCAGCCACCGATCCAACTTCATCCTCCAGTAACCTGGGCCTTGGACCTGACGGTGTTTCGACAGGAAGAGCGGTCAGTGGCCATGGGCCTTGCACCTCTTGCGCGAGATGCGGCGTTTCGAGCTGGAGTCGAATCTGGTGACCTATAACGCGGCCATCGGCGCATGTGAGGAGTGCGGCCTCTGCAGGGTTCTTGGGGCTTCAAGTGGGGCTGGCTTCTTCAGTGTGCATCGCCCCCCCCGGGTTTGGGGTGGTGAATGGATGACTCAGTCCTAAACACCGACACAGAAGCGGGGGCCAAGGTAGTGGGGACATCGGACGCGCTGTGGTGTCTGGATCGGACGTGCTGCACCCTTCGCAGAGTTTGGGCGATATCTGAACTCTAGATCAGTTGGTTTGGAACTGCTCGGTGGGTGGGCTAAGCGTGGTATTTTCAGGTGGGGTATGTTCATGTTCTGGATAGAATTGAAGAGCAGAAGACTGCATCCACGAAGTCACCCAAAAATGACGTGGCAATCTGCTCTTCCTGCCAAATCCACGAATTTGTTTGATAGGACCATCTGCAGATACGATCGACATGAGTTGTCTTTTAGTATTTTCAATAGGTTCCTTTACTGAAAAGGTCTCAAGACGTTGCAACCTTCTTTTGATGCTCTGTCGTCGCTTGGGAACACGGTCGTCGCAGGAACACTGGCGCTTGAGTTTAGATCTTCTATCTGAGCTCGGGCAGGTGCAGCTGGAGGCCGGAGGTGTTCTTCGGCGGGTCTCGTGGACGGAAGAAGACGCCAGTGACACCAATCCCAGACACTCCATGAGACTGCCATATATGCCTACAGTGACCGCCCTGGCACCACCCCAATGTAGGCATATTATATGGTAGTCCCATGGAGTGTCTGGGAATCTGTCTACAAGCTCGTTGCAGGGTGGTTGTCCTTTGCAGAGTGTTTGTCCTTTGCAGACATGACCAGTGGACGAGTCGAACGGATGATGCAGATCAACCAGATCCTCAGGTTCCAAGAGAGGTTGAACAGCCTTATAGCCCATCCCATATGTACCACTACAGGGTCTTATAAGGTCTCTCAACCTCTCTTGGTTCCTTGGTCTTAGAGCCCCAGTCCCACCGAACCGAACAGCGGAGGGGGCCGGCCGAACGGAGCCCGATCTGCTGGAGCCAGGCAGATCTACTGAGCGTCAGCAGCGCGCTCAATGCCTTGAAGGGATGGTCCAGGGCGCTGCAGCTGCTGCCAGAGACAGGAGCCGAAACGAGACCGTTTCAGACTGTTTCTCTTCGTTTTTCGGATGAAAAGGGTGATTGCTGATGAATGAAAAGGTGTGTTTCTTAGTTGTCCCTGTGTGCTCCATCTTTGGGTGCTCACTGGACCACACTGCTGATACATGGTAATGGACATTAATGGACCAAATCCATTTCACTTCGTTTGGCTTGAGATGACTTTGTTGTTTCTTCTTGGTTGGGTCTCGTTTACGGGAGGGTCACACTCTATTTAGGAATGTTGCCAAGGCAAGCGTTGGGTATATATCATTTCCCTGCAACTCCGTTCGACCATTGTTTTAAATGGTTGATCTGGTTGTGTAGCACAAAGTCCTTAGTCAACCAATGGTTGCCCGGTAAAGACTATCTAAAGAATGGTGCTTCGACTTGCGTCCGATCGCTCCGTTCGTAGCGATGCCAGGAGCCCCGTTCGTAGCGTCCTTGTTCCTAGCGATTTGGTTTCTGATGTTCATGTTATGTTCCAACCACTGCTCCCTGCTCCTGACCGATCGTTGGAGGAGACCCTATCGCCTACAACCCGGTGATCAGTGCGTGCTCACGTGCGCACAGGCAGGGACCATCTTCGGATGGTCAGTGCATCAATGGTCCCTCAAGCCAATCCAACAGGGCTGTCATCCTTCTATGATAATAGCAATGCTTGATTGTCATTGCTCCCATGGATCAACTCGGTTGATGCTTGGTATAAGACCTTTTTGTAAAGAAAAACCCATGAAATTAAACGGTTCACTCAAAGGTTTGTTCCTCCCTGATCGGAACCCTTTCTGCTCCCCGGCGGCACAGCCGGTGCTCGGATCCGTCAGGTGGTCCTTCAGCCTCCACGTGCTCCACGCCCTCCACCGCACGGCCACCGTCGCCAGCCTCGCCGCGGCCGCGGGCCACGGCGGCGGCGGTGCGGGGCCGGTGCTGCTGGGGCGCATGGAGGGCCTCGGCTGCGAGTTGCTGGGACCAGCAGTGGCGCGGGAGAGATACAGCCAGCTCCTATAGCCCTGGTGGACAATGGCCTTCTGCCAATAGCGATGGTCTCGCCCTGCGAGTGTGAGTGTGGTATAGTGCAAGTGCCTAGCACTTCCTGTTTGGGTGCCCTGTGAGGACGTAGGGTGGGGTTGTCCATCCAGGTGACCCGTTGGAAAGCAGCTGGTGGGCGTGCATTTCTACAGGGAGACCAACATAGACTCACCAATGGGTATTGACACTACCAGCTGCGCCACCGTTCGGGGTCACCTGGCTGGATACTTACAGGTCTCCATTGGACACCCCTTGGAAGCGCTAGGTATAGGTCTATTTTTTGATCCGAACCCAGAAAGTCCGAAAGCCATGTTTCGACCGGTCTCCCGACTCTTGAGCTACGCAAACGCAGAGTTTTTTGTCACGGTAAACATCGTGGTGGTTTTTTTTCCAAGGAGACTTATCAAGGAACCAGAGGCAGATGGCAGATGAGTTCGCTTTGAGATCCATCATAGTCACGGAGGGAACCAAGTTTCTTTTTTGAAAGATGTTTTTCATGGGTTTCTCGCCTTGGCGTGGAATGGAAATGAGGTGAACTGTAAGGTGGACGGTCTTGTTCCAGTTGACTCAATCTCAAAAACAATCGAACGAGGTCAACTGAAGGCTTGACATACAAATCATCCCTGACCTACAAGAATCAAATCACCCAGTGAAAAGAGAGTGGTAGGGTTTACCCATACCAAAGTGATCCTTAATCCGCGAAGGACAGTGACCAGCCGAAGAAGACGTGACCAGCTATGTCTGACCTACACGGTCTGAAGGTCTGAGGCGCTGACTGACGCTATCACCGTTACACCTCCGTTGTCGTACCGAACCTCAACGGTCTCGGTATGACGACCGACCCAACTGGCCCCGGTCGTCCCACCGAACCGGTTCGCGGGTTCAGTGACCAGAAATCGACTCACGTGGCGTGGAGACGAGACTGGGGAGACTGGTCAGACCGTCGCGATAGTGAATTGGGGCGAGAAGAAAGAGGATATTGATCCGTGGAAATTCTTGACTCCATGCAAGTTTCTCCAAAGTGATGTGTTTTTTCTGTGCAGTTCGTTGTCCGCGTGTTTGGCATGAAACGCGCTCTGAGGTTACTCAATGCCATGCTGAAGCCTTAGTTGCAGCATGCTGCCGGTGGAAACGTCCGTTCGAGGCACGATGGGACCGAAGCGCTGTTCGTTTTTCAGAGGCGCTGTCTTGAAAAGATATGGTGTTTCACCTAGCAAAGACGATGTTGTGTGTTTTGTTTAAAGTGAAACGTCTCTTTTGTTCACCTTTGATGAATCCCCTTCAAGGAAACTATATACATAGGATCGGTGCTATTGTTGAATAGGTTTCAAAGTGTTCCTTCCAAGAAGTGATGAATTCGAGTGAAAGTCATTCTCGGCATGCTCACATGTCTTGCTTTCAACCAGACCCTGCCGTCTTTGGATTGGAAAACAGTATTGCTTCTTGTATGTAGACATCAAAGCAGCAAGATTCAAGCACAACATCACTCATCACACAACGTGAGGTGTGTTGTTCTTCGGGTTTGCTTTTCACGCTGCTCAGGTTCACGACACAGCAGCACCGAACGAACCTTTGCAGATCCGACGAGGAGCTCCGAACGAGGGAGCGGGAGTGACAAGACCCCGACGAGGATCGGGCTCGGCGAGTTCGAACGAGGACGAGGACGGTTCAGCAGCAGCAGTGGCGAGTATCGCCTTGGAGTTGGAAAAGGACGCAGTGGTCGAATGCCGAGTCCGTTCAAGCAATGCCGAGTCCGCGCACGGTCGGTGTTGGAACATGGTGCCCCAGAAGCCAAATCTTGGAGATTTGCGGAACTTTGTCCACAGATTTCGAAGACTTCGGTTGTGACTCCTGGCTGAGTTTGCATAGTGGCATAGAGCTTACGCTTTTCTTGTCTTACCTCATCTTGGAGATATGCTTTTCTGAATCACATTATAGAGAGTTGGCTCAATATTTTGTTGGGTAGTGACCACGACCTGATGTTCGGTTTGTGAAGTTGTCCTAATTGCTCCTTTGAGTTTCACGTCCACAATGTGTGTTAACACCTCGCCCCTTCCCCTGATGCAAGGAGAGAGCCGTTCACTGGTGGAATAGCACAGCGGTATGGTGTCGTACCAGACCATTCGTTGGACTTACGAGCTTCGGCTCGTTCGACCTCCAAATTCGTTCATTTGGAAGCCATTCTTGCTGTGGTCTTCGCCCAAAACAAGTCCACTGACGTCAAGGCTGTGGTCTTCGCCCCAAAAAAAAAACGCGCGCCGCACCGTCACCGGGCGGGCCTCGTCTTGGGGCGCGCAGCGTCCACGGTCGGCCCGGGGACCGCGGGCGGCGCCGAAGGCGCCTTCGGATCGATCCACAGGCAGCGGAGGAAGAAGCGGATGCGCGCGGTACAACTGTCACCACAGTCACAGTCTGTCACAACACCGAACGATGCTGCGAACTCGTTTGGGCCAACCGGTCTGGGAGGGATCGAAGGAACGGACCGGAGTGGAGACACCGGTCTGAAACCGGGACCGGACGGAGGGTGGTGCGCCGTTTTCGTGAAACGAGAATGGTGGGTGGTGGTGATGGGTTTAGGGTGATGTGGTGATGGTGATCGCCCCCCCTATCAGCTGGGTGTACGTACCGCATCGTTGTGACTCTTGTGACTGACTACTTCTGGAAGATTCTGGAAGCTTGAGCGATTTGATTTGAAAGAAAGGTCCAGTCTGACATTGACAAACATGTTTGCTTTTGTTCTGTTTCACCCGCCCGAGATGGTTTCTTGGGCGGGTGCCTGCGCAGTTTTCGATTGAAAGGACCGTGGTCATCGGACTTGTGGACCGATGTGCTCAAGTGCTCTGCAGTGAAAAACCGCTGCGAAGGAGGAAACGCATTTTGTCCG